AATGTCATACTAAGTGTATTTTTATATTAATATGTACTTATATTAATATAAAAATACACTTATAATTAAATTACACACGTATATATATAATATATATAATAACTATATATATTGTATATATATATTATTATAAAATATAAATAATAAGTAATTTAAATTAAATATTTTTTTTTTAAATAATAATAAAAAATTTAAAAAAAATTATATAGCTATATGAAATTTTATTCTAACTGTATTTTAAAATTAATATATATATATTTATATCAAAATACACTTAGAATGAATTTGTATATATATCTATGTATATAAAATAAATAAAAATAATAAGAAATATACATACGTCCATATACAAAATTACATAAATAATTATATAAATATACACGTAGACTTCAAATATATAAATATGCATATATATTTAAATTCTACGTGCGTATTTATGTAATATTTTTACATAATTCAGTAATTTTATTGATTGCAATTTGAGGGACCTGCCTGCCAACCCAGGCCGAAATTCCAGAGAATTTAATTTGCTAGCACTGTATTTTACCCTGTAACGTTCTACGACACCCTAAAACCTGTACATGGGGGGTACTGTTTTACTCGGGAGACTTCGCTGAACACAAATATTAGTGATTCAAAACAGTAAAACATATCACAGTGATGATATTGTCAGTGAAAGATACTTTTTTTGCATTTTTCACACACAAACAGCACTTTTACTGATGATATAATTGTTGTGATACGTTTTCCAGTTTTTAAGCACTAATATTTGTGTTCAGCGATGTCTCCCGAGTAAAACAGTACCCCCCATGTACAGGTTTTATAGCATTTTTGAAAGTTACAAGGTCAAATATATGGGTCAAATATTTTTACATTGAAAATGGCCAGGTTGGTTACGTTGCCTTTGAGAGCGTATGGTAGCCCAGGAATGAGAATTACCCCCATGATGGCATACCATTTGCAAAAGAAGACAACCCAAGGTATTGCAAATGGGGTATGTCCAGTCTTTTTTAGTAACCACTTAGTCACAAACACTGGCCAAAATTAGCGTTCAATTTAGTTTTTTTACTTTTTTCACACACAAACAAATATGAATGCTTACTTTGGCCAGTGTTTTCGACTAAGTGGCTACTAAAAAAGACTGGACATACCCCATATTGAATACCCTGGGTTGTCTACTTTAAAAAAAATATGTACATGTGGGGTGTTATTCAGAGATTTATGACAGATAATAGTGTTACAATGTCACTATTGATAAATTTTTAAAATGTATGTTTTGAAACCGCAATATCCTACTTGTACCTATAGCCCTATAACATGCAAAAAAAAGCAAAAAAGCACGTAAACACTAGGTATTTTTAAACTCAGGACAAAATTTTGAATCTATTTAGCAGTTTTTTTCATTCGCTTTTGTAGATGAGTAAAAGATTTTTCAAGTAAAAGTCAAAAAACATGTATTTTTTTCAATTTTTCATCAGATTTTTGTATTTTTTTTAAATTAAAATACATGAGATTATATAAATAATGGTATGTAAAGAAAGCCCCTTTTGTCCTGAAAAAAACAATATATAATTTGTATGGGAACAGTAAATGAGAAAGCGGAAAATTACAGCCAAACACAAACACCACAAAAGTGTAAAAATATGCCTGGTCGCAAATGTACAACATCGCAAAAACAGTCCAGTCCTTAAGGGGTTAAATACACACATAAATCTCAGATGCGTGCAAAGTTCAAAGCCCTGCTAAGAGGTGACCACACTAATTCATGGCACTTTAATGAGAGAGAGGTGCTGTTCTACATCAGTGTGCCAAGCATATGTGCTTTTACATGGCTCTCCTGCAGATAGACTGCTCTACATTTCCTTATCCACGATAGCAACACGGTTCACAAACTTGGCTCTATTTTATCATATCACTTAGCTACCCTACAGTTCTCAGTTCATAGTATAGCTGTTATATCTGTAACCATGTTCACATCATAACATGCTACTGTTTCATTTTCTATTTTTTTTTTAGACTCTTCACCCACCCATTCATTTTTAATATTCTCTTTCAAGCCTACATTTTTTGGTACCTCAGGCATTTCCGTTAAGTAAAGATGAAAGGGGAAACCTGTCACTTACTCCCTTGCATGAAAGCGGCAAAACTACAGCAGAACTGTAAACAACAAACAGCGTACGCTTGTATTACTGCTATATGTTGATAATATATGCCTTTTAGAACACAGACATTCTGGTATGAAATAGTTTTGGCATAATTTGATATTCTGAACCAGAAAGTCCTCGATTTAATATTGTTGAATATGTTTTCCCAATGATTTAATATTTTTGGGATAAACTTTTAGAACAATATTTTCAAATTATTAACATATAAAAAAATATATCATATATAAAAATATATTAACTTAGCAAAAAATCTAAATATACTTGAAGATTTCAATATTTTTCACAATATTAAATCATTCCAAAAGTTTATTAAAAAATATTGAATATTTTAGAAAGCTTAACCAACAGTATTTATTACAGGCTACAATTGCAAACAAACGAACTAACTAACTAACAAACTAACTAAAAAGTGGTTTTATTTAGTAACTATTTATTGTATTTTGTTCACCAATTGTCAGTTGATTATTCGATTTTTCAAAAGTTTCAGTTTCAAAATATAGAAGATGAATTTTATGAACCACAATAAACAATTTTAACTTTTCCTTAACATTTAACCCTGTAAAATATGAATATCCATTTTGCTTAATATCCTAGCTGTTCATATAAGGGTTAATTTGAACCAAGAATAAATTTGGAATTGTATCTTCGATTCTGGGAAGAATTTATCTAATATCATTTATGAGAATGACCATACTGATTTCCAAATGTTCTTGTTAATTGTCCAAGATTAAGGTATTTGTAAATATCTTGTTTTGATCAAATATACATGTGTTATATAACGTAGAATTATAATAAGAAACAGCTGTTCATAACTTGTGAAAAACAATGTCATTGTCACGCCCATGTGCTAATTTTTCCCCCTCCCATCCTGCTATGAAAATGGGGTATAAATATAACTGACGTATGAATACAATTGGAATTGGTTATTGAACATGTCTCTGCTATTCATTTCCAATTTCCAGAGCTCTGTATGAGTTGGAAAATATCCATCATCCACAAAGGGCCCGGGCTGATTTTATCCCCAACAAACCCCTGCCCTAACCTGTGTATCCTCTACGTTAACCTCTTACCTTAGGCCTTAACCCTGACCCCTAAATTATAACTAACTCCTATCACTGATTAATAATTAAAACAAAACTGTGTCACATTACTGTCAAAATGGTAGAACCAAACATGTGTGCTCTAAACTAGTGGCCTGGAAAATTAACCTTTAGCAAAATTGGAAATGTCTGTGTCATTTTAGATTGATGAGACTGTTTTGCAGAAAATGGAGCTCAAATAATAATCTTGCCAAATCAGATCGAACAACCACATTAGATACTGTGGAAATCAATGCCATATTCCACACTTACTTTTCTCACATTTTTTATCTCAACCAGATGATCCCACTATTGGGATGGTGATTTTAAAAGGAGCAAACCCACCCAGACTAACCAATGACCAAATGCTTCCATTAGGAGACGTGGCATGGGCAATACAAATTGGTAAGGTAGGTAAAGCCCCAGGACCCAATGGGCTCACAGTTGACTACTATAAGATTTAAAAAAACCTTTGACAGGTTACTCGTCCTCATCTAGACCTAGAATGTTAAAATATAGGTTATTTGGTATCCCATCCGTTAATCTCATGAGGGCTCTCCCCTATCCTATTTAACTTAGCCTTTGATCCCCTTATCAGATTCTTCCACAGAAAGCCAGGGAATAAAATCAGACTGCTGTACAATTAAACTCACCTCCTATGTAGATGATCTCTTGCTTTATATTACAAACCCCATAACCTCCCTACATAGTGCCATTAATACTTTTGATTGTTGTAGCCCAGTCACAGCTTTCAGCCATGAAGTTAGGCCCAGGTCCCCCAGTATGTCTAATGTAGTCAACCACTTTATTGTGGACAACCTCATATTTTAAATATATGGGAGTGCTGATTCGTAAGGGTCTGTCCAGTCTACATTGTTTGAACATGACCCTGATTTGGGCCAAAGTAAAGGATCTCCTCTCTTGATGGGCATACCTACCTTTTTCATTCCTGGCATTGCGACCCTCCTATAATCTTGACATATCCATAGTCGCCTTTTTCGGCAGATGCTTAACAACCTCCCCCCCCCAAAAAAAACCAAATACTAGGAAATCCTGTATTTGGGAAAATTATCACAGATTTAATAATATATCAATAATACTTAAAATATTTTAAGGTCATTGTCCACATATTAACATAACATATCAACCCCAACTTTAACAATACTACCCCAGACAATAACCCACATCACAATAAGTAAAACTACATTATAAAATATAATTAACATATACGCCTCCCAAATGCTCGCCAGAATGCAAAAGGCCCTCAGCCAATTCCTAAACGTTATGGGGATCTTGCGATAGCGGCGCCTTTTCTCCTCTTTCTCCTTCTTGGCATCTTTTTTAACCTGTTCCTTCATGTCCAAGTATTCGTCTGGAGGAAGAAGAGAAAAGATCTCCAGAAATTCTCCCTTCCATATCTGCTCCTTCACCTTTCGGTGTAAGGTGACACCCTAAGGGCCAGCGAAGGAGACGTGAACATTCTGCCTAGCAGCGCCTGGAATGCCCCCAATTAGCTCCGCCCTTTCAGTCCCTAAATCGTCTGCGACCGCCACCACCAACGGAACCACCGCATCACTGGCGGAACTGCTACTAGCCACTGGAACCGTCAATGCCTCCACCACCACACTCTCCTGCCTAGGTGCCCAAACCTGTCCAAATCTAACGCTTCTCCCTGAACCCCCGCTCCATGATTCCAGAAAAGACTTGAGACCCTCTAAAAGATCCCGAGAAGGCTTAACAGAAGACAACTCACAGTCGAAACCCTTTTGCTGCTGAAGGCCGTGAGGCCGTATTCAGCTGGACGTCGTCCAAGCCCAGGCGCAACGGCGCCTCCACCCGTAGATCGACAACATGAGGTCTCACCCGTACCGTGGGCGACTGTCTCGGTGACCTGGAACGAGGAAACACTCTGGGTAGGCTGTCCAACTGAGTACTGCCCACCCAACCTGGGACCTGGGAAGAGATTTATTGGCACTGCACCTGGCTTCCTGACCCCTATGGCTGTGACTGCTCCCTACCATCCGTTCATCATAGCCACCCCGAGAACTCACCCTAGATTAAGCCTGATCTGCTGCACCTGCGTTCTGTAGTCCTAACAGGGGATCCGAAGTTACTCTCCCGGGTAAGAACCCTGGGAGACCCCCCATCGTGGTAGCCCACATGGTCGCTATGGCCACTCCGGGATCTATAGAGTGACCCCTGTCGCCCAGCATCTCCTGGGAGCCTGACTTGATAGTCCTGAGTGCGGCATTTCGTGCCCACCAATGATGGGGATCTGTCCCGCTGCCCTTTCTGTGCTCTCCTGGGCGTGGATGTCCGCCTACCTGATTCCTAAGTCAGGTCCCAATCCCTGGGCTCTCTCCTTGGGCCGCCCCCATCCACGCTAGGTGACCTGGATGCTGACCCCGGGGACAAACTCCTCTCCTGTGACCTGCCAGGAGAAGCCCGTCTATGCCCACTGGCCATTGGGGACTTTTCCATTGCCTGGGTGCCTAGGGCCTACCTATCCACCAGCCGCTCGCTGCCCCATGACTTGTGACCCATGTGGATGGGGGACAACTCACCCAGTGTGTCACCAGTTGGAACACGTCCAACAGCGCTGACAGCACCTTCAGTGCCTGCTGCAGAGCCTGCCGTGGCTATTTCGGTATTTCTCCCTCCAGCCATTTGTCTAGATTAGTGCTCATTCCCGCGAATGTGACCCCAACCTACGGGTGTACGTGACATCCTGGAATCCTATTTGTGGCCCGAACCGTGCTCCTGTTCGCGGCCCAAAAGTTCAGCAGACACTGCTCGCACCTGTTCGCGGCCTGAACATTCACCAGATACAGCCTTCTCCTGTTCGCAGCCTGAACGTTCACCTGCCTCCATACTCGCCTGTTCGTGGCCCGAACTTTTGGCACGTCCAGCCGAATCCAGTTCGCGGCCTCCTCCTTCGCGGCACGAACGTGCAGCCTCGTTCCCAGGAAGACAGCCAGATCATCCAGCAGCACAGCGACGCCGGCCATGACCTCCCGTATTCCTGCTCCTCACCCAGCCTCAGGTTCAGGGATGGGCTCACCCTCCTCCTCCCGCTGGAGCCAGTGCTGGGACGCAAACTTGGCGGCGGTCGGTTCCTTTGTGTAGGACGCCAGGCGACACTGCGGCCGTTGCAGTGGACCCTGCAGAACTAGGTTCAGCCAGGGCCTCTCCCAGAAGCTCTTGGAGTCAGGAAACTCCTCTCTGCTGGACAGCAGCATGGGCACCAGCCAGCCAAGCCTCCATTCTTCAACCAGCAGCACCTGCAAGACAAAAGACACCACACAGCCTGCACAAAACAGGTAAGTGAGGAATAATTAAGATGGCCCCTGATCTAAAATGGCCACTATATATACTCCTCTAGCAAAAACCTTACCTCTACTTATACTAGCCACTACACCCCTCCTATGCCTGTCTCCAAGCAATGTCAAGGCCCATTCCTCTTAGCTGCGCTGTTGCATGGGCTACAGTTATAGTGCATACACGTCTTTATCCTATACAGACTGTAGTCGTATTTCTGCTCTGATGAGAAAACTCACAACACTTTTTTTTCCAAATTTCTTTGGCAACACAAACATCCATGGATTGTTCTGCACAAGCTACCTCATCCAAGATTCAAGATAAAACTCTGTACTTAAGCCTCACATTATTGCCATTGATTGAAAAAGAGGATCATGGCAATTTACTGTGGTACCTTTGGACACACAACTTTGTCCTGATGTAGCCTTCCCTCAATTACATACACCTCCCTTCCAGAGGTAGCACAGGATGACCCTCTATTAGCATCCGCTATTAAAGTGTGGTAGATGGTAAGAAAGCATAGGGCTTTAACAGCAATGCACATTTTTCTATGTAACCGGCTCTTTCAGGATGGGGAGGCTCAATATCCCTACCATTCCTAGGAGGCTGCATGTCATGCTAGGATACACAATTTCCTTAATGATAATAATAAGTCAATTCTTACCTGATCTCGTAGTTCCTTTTGTTCCATATCACCAGACACGTAGCCTGATTAACACATTTCAGCCCTGCCGATTGGGACCACTTCATGATTTATTTGCTTACATAGCCAGACATTCCTTCCTATACTATACTTCCAGTTTCATCTCATCAGGAGATGTGTTTAAACATTGCACATCATGCTTCTTACCATTCCCCTCAAAAAACATTTTCTTTTAAAATGAGGTACACTGTTAAGTATTTAAAAAATGCAGAACCGATGGAACAGACCTTTATCATTGTTTGTGGGAGTGTGTGAAGATTCCTGCATTTTGGAAACAAGTCACATATTTACCAATGTTATTGGACAGACCGTTCCACTTCCATCAATTACTAGCGACATTGGGGCTGCTGCCTGGGGAGTCTGGTCATATTTCTAAATTGGTCCATATGATTCTGGCTGCTGCTCGGAAATGTATATTACATCATTGGATCCTTCACTCCCCTCCTCCATTGTCACTACTTAAAGTCTCCTTTTTAATTTAAAATGAATTTGATTTAAGCTTTATTACACCAAAGTACTTTAACAAAAACTAAATGTCCTATGCAGGCAACCCTATATTAATTCATGGGATAAATCTCTCCAGTCCAAACCAAAACCCCCTTTGGCATTTACAGACTGGTATATTACTAGAATAATAGCGCGTCAACAAACTATTGCGGAATTAAATGAGATTCTTTGAGATTGACCACTAGTGTTTAACACCCCCATGTTGATTCAGCCTACAACTGCATTAAAGTCAAGATGTTATATATTGATCCTACTTTAGGTATGCAGTATTTGAGAAAGCATATTTTTTTGTTGTTGTTTTTTCTTGTTTTATTTAGTTTTCATGATGTTTAAAAAAAAAAAAAAAAAAGACATGTCGTGCAAGATCTACAAGTTGCTATTTGCATACACAGTCTTGTTGGTGCTCGTATTTCATACTCCTGTTTTACTCTTCATTAAACCATGACAAAAAAAAAAAAGATTTTGAAACTAAAGGACCCTTATTTGGGAAACGATAGTTTAAATTGGCACTCTATGTTTTCTATGTTTTTTTTTTCTTGATTTCTGGAGGCATGTCTTCCTCTTTCACCTCCAGGCCAACACTCGCACTCACATGGCAACCCACAGTAGGGGGAACAGCAACCACCCCACTCCCGAAGAGCCCGCAAAAAACCCAATTGGAGGCATCGTCTCCTCCAATAGCTACTGTTTAAATGGATCTGCAGTCACCAGACTCAACATTATTATTATTATTATTATGTTATTATTTATATAGCCTTCAAATTCTGCGGCAGCTACAATGGGTAGATCTAACGGACATGTATTTGTAACCAGACGTTGACACACAGGAAACAGTAGGGTTATTGAGGGCCCTGCTCAATGAGCTTACATGCTAGAGGGAGGGGTAAAGTGACACAAAAAAGATAAGGATAAATAGTATTCGACCAGTGACAGTTGCAAGAGAGGAATCAGTTAAGCCATTAACAGCTTAATTGATACGCTTTATGAAGAAGTGGGTTTTTAATAATTTTTTTGAAGGAGGAGGGAAGCGCAGTTCACAGGAACGGTGCAGCCCTCGAGAAATCTTGAAGGTGAGCATCAGAGGTGGGAGTACGGACAGAAGATAGACGTAAGTCTTCAGCAGATCGTAAGGGCCTAGACGGGACATACTTGTGTATTAGGGAGGATAGATAGGTGGGAGCAGCATTATGTAGAGATCTGAAAGAAAGAACCAGAATTTTAAATTGAGCCCTATATCTTACAGGAATCCAATGTAGGGACTGACAGAAGGGTGAGGCGTGTGGTATAACATGTGGTATGACACCCAACCAATTGGTCTTACAGTCACAATCTCTCCCTGAGTACTAGCAACACCACAAATGTGGATCACCCTTATTCACATTGAAATTACTTTAATTTATGTGCAATATATCCATGTTTGTCCTATGCTGATGAATTGCCAACCTGAAGCAATGTGTGGCTTGTATTTCTTATATTAAAAAAGAATCTTTAAAAATAAAGAATTTAAAAAATAAAAATAAAGATAACTAGGTAACATAATAAACATACATAAACATAATATAATGTAAAAAAAGGAGTGGATAAGACAAAGTCATCCATACACAGACTTTCCACCCTCATACACTTCATTTATACACACAGCTTCTTCCACACAAAGAAATGTATGCACAGTTCTCTTCCTTTACATAGATACAAACACTACACACAAATACACTCCTATTTACACACTTACACTGTATGCAACTCATACATCAACATTCCATACATGATTCCCTATAAATAAAAATAATGCATTCACACACATATCTGCTCTACATTCTAATAGAACATTGCATTCACACTTACACTACATGCAAATAAACACATTTATTTTATACTTACTAGCACTACATGTAATATACTTAGGGTCAGTGGCATACACACAATCCATGGGGCCCCGTGCAAAACTGAGCCATGCCTCCCTCCCTTCCACCTCCCCCTTTGATCCCCCCCAACAAACACACACACATACAGAGACACATACATACAGAGACACATACATACACACATACACGCAGACACATACATACAGACACATACATATATAGAGACACACACACATAGACACATACATACAGACAGATACATACAGACACATACACACATACATACACACACACAGACAGACAGACAGACACACACACACAAGACACACATACATACAAAGACATATATACAGACACACACACACACACACAGACACATACAGACAGACACACACATACTGATAAGCACACATACATACACACACACACACACACAGACATACACACATACAAAGACACATACATACATACATACACACAGGCACATACACACAGACACACACACACACATACAGACACACACACACAAGACACACATACATACAAAGACACATACATACATACAGACACACACACATACAGACAGACAGACACACACACACACACATACAAAGACACATACATACATACATACATACACACAGGCACATACATACAGACAGACATACACACAGACACAC